CCACAGAGTGGCTAGGCCCGTGAGCCATGGCCACTGAGCCTGTGCGTCTGGCGCCTGTGCTCCACAACGGGAGAGGCCACAACAGTGAGAGGCCCGCGTACCGCAAAAAAAAAAAAAAAAATCTTCCAACAAACAAAAGCCCAGGACCAGATAGCTTCACAGGCAAATTCTATCAAACATTTAGAGAAGAGCTAACACCTATCCTTCTTCTAAAATATAGCAGAGAGAGGAACACTCCCAAACTCATTCTACGAGGCCACCATCGCCCTGATACCAAAACCAGATGAAGATGTCACAAAAAAAGAAAATTACAGGCCAATATCACTGATGGACACAGATGCAAAAATTGTCAACAAACTGCTAGCAAGCAGAATGCAACAGCACATTAAAAGGATCATATACCATGATCAAGTGGGGTTTATCCCAGGAATGCAAGGATTCTTCAATATATGCAAATCAATCAATGTGATAAACCATATTAACAAATTGAAGGAGAAAAACCATATGAGCATCTCAATAGATGCAGAAAAAGCTTTTGACAAAATTCAACACCCATTTATGATAAAAACTGTCCATAAAGTAGGCGTAGAGGGAACCTACCTCAACATAATAAAGGCCATATATGGCAAACCCACAGCCAACATCATTCTCAATGGTGAAAACTGAAACCATTTCCTTTAAGATCAGGAACAAGACAAGGTTGCCCACTCTCACCATGATTATTCAACATAGTTTTGGAAGTTTTAGCCACAGCAATCAGAGAAGAAAAAGAAAAAAAAGGAATCCAAATCAGAAAAGAAGAAGTGAAGCTGTCACTGTTTGCAGATGACATGATACTATATATAGAGAATCCTAAAGATGCTACCAGAAAACTAACAGAGCTAATCAATGAATTTGGTAAAGTAGCAGGATACAAAATTAATGCACAGAAATCTCTGGCATTCCTATAGACTAATGATGAAAAATCTGAAAGAGAAATTAAGGAAACACTCCCATTTACCATTACAACAAAAATAATAAGATACCTAGGAATAAACCTACCTAAAGAGAAAAAAGACCTGTATATGGAAAACTATAAGACACTGATGAAAGAAATTAAAGATGATACAAACAGATGGAGAGATATAGCATGTTCTTGGATTGGAAGAATCAACATTGTGAAAATGACTCTACTACCCAAAGCAATCTACAGATTCAGTGCAATCCCTATCAAACGACCACTGGCATTTTTCACAGAACTAGAACAAAATATTTCACAATTTGTATGGAAACACAAAAGACCCCGAATAGCCAAAGCAATCTTGAGAAAGAAAAAAGGAGCTGGAGGAATCAGGTTCCTGGACTTCAGACTATATTACAAAGCTGCAGTAATGAAGACAGTATGGTACTGGCAAAAAACAGAAATATATATCAATGGAACAGGATAGAAAACCCAGAGAAAAACCCACGCACATATGGTCACCTTATTTTTGATAAAGGAGGCAAGAATATACAAAGGAGAAAAGATAGCCTCTTCAATAAGTGGTGCTGGGAAAATTGGACAGCTACATGTAAAAGAATGAAATTAGAACACTCCCTAATACCATACACAAAAATAAACTCAAAATGGGTTAAAGACCTAAATGTAAGGCCAGACACTATAAAACTCTTAGAGGAAAACATAGGCAGAACACTCTATGATATAAATCACAGCAAGGTCCTTTTTGACCCACCTCCTAGAGAAATGGAAATAAAAACAAAAATAAACAAGTGGGACTTAATGAAACTTAAAAGCTTTTGCACAGTAAAGGAAACCATAAACAAGACGAAAAGACAACCCTCAGAATGGGAGAAAATATTTGCAAACAAAGCAACTGACAAAGGATTAATCTCCAAAATTTACAAGCAGCTCATGCAGCTCAATAACAAGAAAACAAACAACCCAATCCAAAAATGGGCAGAAGACCTAAATAGACACTTCTCCAAAGAAGATATATAGATTGACAACAAACACAAAGGATGCTCAACGTCATTAATCATTAGAGAAATGCAAATCAAAACTACAATGAGATATCATCTCACACCGGTCAGAATGGCCATCATCAAAAAATCTAGAAACAGTAAATGCTGGAGAGGGTGTGGAGAAAAGGGAACACTCTAGCACTGCTGGTGGGAATGTGAATTGGTACAGCCACTATGGAGAACAGTATGGAGGTTCCTTAAAAATCTACAAAGAGAACTACCATATAACCCAGCAATTCCACTACTGGGCATATACCCTGAGAAAACCATAATTCAAAAAGAGTCATGTACCAAAATATTCATTGCAGCTCTATTTACAATAGCCAGGAGATGGAAACAACCTAAGTGTCCATCATCGGATGAATGGATAAAGAAGATGTGGCACATATATACAATGGAATGTTACTCAGCCATAAAAAGAAACGAAATTGAGCTATTTTTAATGAGGTGGATGGACCTAGAGTCTGTCATACAGAGTGAAGTAAGTCAGAAAGAGAAAGACAAATACCATATGCTGACACATATATATGGAATTTAAGAAAAAAAAATGTCATGAAGTACCTAGGGGTAAGACAGGAATAAAGACACAGACCTACTAGAGAATGGACTTGAGGATATGGGGAGGGGGAAGGGTAAGCTGTGACAAAGTGACAGAGTGGCATGGACATATATACACTACCAAACGTAAAATAGGTAGCTAGTGGGAAGCAGCCGCATAGCACAGGGAGATCAGCTCGGTGCTTTGTGACCACCTAGAGGGGTGGGATAGGGAGGGTGGGAAGGAGACGCAAGAGGGAGGGGATATGGGGATATATGTATACATAGAGCTGATTCACTTTGTTATACAGCAGAAAGTAACACAACATTGTAAAGTAATTATACTCCAATAAAGGCGTAAAAAAAAAAAAAACCAGAAAAAAAAAAATTGACCAGGAATCAGCTGGATTTCAGAGATGGGGAAGAAAGTGGAGGTGGTAGGAAGCCTGCGTGCTGGCCTGGTGCCTGAGTGGACATTTGTGCTGCAGTGCACTTGGGGTTTCAGTGTCAGTGGTTGCCTGGGCCATTGTGATTTTCGTCTCTAGGCTCTCCTGTTTCTACACCCACAGGAAGAAGCAGGTATTAGCTACCCTCAGCCCCTGGGTGACTGGTCCTGAGCCCTGCAGCAGGTGGGGCAGGTAGAGCATGCAGAATGCTGGATCCCTTACTGGCCTCTCTCAGTGACCGGGCTCTCTAGGGGCTCACATTAGAGGAGGAGCCTGAGGGCTAGTTGAGTTCCCAGTGGTGCCCCTTTTGTGGTCAGCTGTGGGCCGGTTTAGCACAGGATACACTGCCCAGATGCCCATAGGAGGGAGGGCTGGGGAGCCTGCTGGGATGGAGCGTGAGGGAGAGTGCGTGTTGGGGAGCACTTGCTTCCCTGCATGGTCTCCAGATCTGTTCTGACTCATGCCAGGTCCCCAGCAGGTGTCCTGCAGTCGAAGTCCTGCTTGTACTGGCTCCTTCAGGCAGCCCCTCCCACCGCTACAGGAACCCCACTCTTCTCAGAAATCTGTTTGAAGAGCTCCTAGAATCACAGATGGCCCAAGTGAGTCCTGGGTCTTTCTGCTCAGATGAGTGAACTGAGGCTGCCAGAGGGGAGGGAAGAGGCCACATCAGGCCGTGGCACAGCTGCAACGTGAGCCCAGAAGTCTCCGTCCAGCTGCAGGTGTGGTCTTATAGAGGCTGTCCCAGAGGTCCCGTGTTTCTGAGGCCCTCCCATACGCCTCTGCCGTGCTGAGAGCTGAAGGGGAGGGAAGACAGGTGCAGACACACACAAACCCTGGATCTTGCCCTTGAAGTATTTGAGGTTGAACAGTGGGGGGTGGGTGAGGCAGACCTCCAGCAGTGGACACGCCCTGTTATGAATCAGGATGTCCATACAGGCCCTTCTGCGTTAGACAGGCTGCTCGGCTTGATCCAACTCAGCCTGACGCAGGCAGCCAGCGTGTGGGTAGCGGGGCAGGGAAGGGAGGGGAGAGAGAGGACAGCGCCAGTGAGCACAACGCCCACGAGTGCGACGCCCGCCAGCCACCTCAAGGTGAATTCGTTCAGCCCAAATTGCAAGCAATGTGAGCAAGAAATACGTTTGTCATTGTAGCACCGGAGCAAAAGCCGATAAATAAAGGAGGCAAATGCAGTATCTTGGTCCCAAGGTGGACAGCACTGTCATCAGGAGAGACAGCCATGGAGAAAGGAAGACAGTGAGGGAGAAGAAGCAGGAGAGGAACAGGGAGAGAGACGCTGAGCAAGTCCTGTACCTGTACCTGCGTGTCTGGACTTCCCAGAGCCCCAGAAGGAGCATCAAGGTCATGGTCCATATGGTGGTGATAAAATTGGTATTAATCGTCATCGTCATAATGATGCCGATCGTTGTGGCTGCCATTTTGAGTCCCAACTATGTGGTACTAATCTTTGCAACTATTCTACAAGGTAGGTCTTCTCAATTCATCACATAATTATTGTTATCACTGCCCATTCATAGCAGAGGGACTTGAGCCCTTGAGAAGGTCCCCTCCGAAGCCATGCAGTCTGGAGGCGGTTGGGCTGGGATTTAGAGCCAGGGCTGTGGGATGTCAGAGCCGCCTTCTCCCCACTGGGCCACGTGGCCCTCACTGATTTGGCCTTGGCTCTGAGGGGTGGGCCCAAGCCTGGGCTGGACACTGGGAGCTGGCTTCAGTTCTGGGCTCTCAGCATGGCCTCCTGGGGCATGAAGGAGCCACAGAAGTTATCCTGGTTTTGGCAGTGGTCACTGCCCTTGTCCATGGGGACTGTCACAAAAGAACCCTTGACCAGAAGCAGGGGACCTGCTTTGGATCCCAGCTCTGCTGAACACTATGTGGCTTTTCCTGCTCATTCGGGGCCTCAACTTTTCCCTTTATGAAGTAGAGGTCAGGAGAGGGTCCAGCAACCCTCCCAGCCCTTAAGGATTTGGCAAACAATCCCTTCCCCACTCCGGTCCAAACCTGCTCCGAAGGCAAAGAAGCAGATCTTGTCTTCGTTCTCCTGCAGAAGAGTCATGACCCTCTTCCCCATCCGCTCATTCCTCTTGTAGATGAGCTCCTGGCGGAAGTAGCTGTCGATCTCCTGGGCGGTGACCTGCTCGTGCGGCGGAAGGGTGGTGTTGATAAAGTTGGGTAGCTGTAAAGGCAAGACAGAGACCGCTGCCTTCAGTTCTTCCTGGAGCAGAGTGGCTTTCAATAAACACACGCAGCCCAGTGTGGGGCTGGGTAACTTACCTTTATTCAGGTAATTGATGCTTTTCATCAGTTCCCAGATGCTTTGAGATGACTGTTGTTATCCCAGTTTCACAAATAAAGAAAGAAGAGCGAAAGATCCAGAGATAGGTGGAGAGCCACACAGCTAACTAAATGGCAGAGCCAGGCTGGAGCCCTTGGACGCCACCCTCACACACGTATCACTCCCGCGTCTCTGCCTTGTTGAACCTCGGCTTCCGGACACAGAGGTCCTGGGAGGCTCTCACTGTAGCACTGACCCTGTCACTGGCACGTACAGGGAATCTGGTTCAGCAAGCAGGTGTGGAGGGTCTGCCTGGTGTAGCGAAAAGGCTGACCTGGGCTTCAGGCCCTGTTCTGATGCTGTGTGACTTTGGCCAAGTTACTTAACTTTTCTGAGTCCAGGTTTCCTCATTTATAAGTTGGGGCTGATGGTATTGCGGGGGATTGCATGAGATGATGGGTGTTGTCGTGGACACCTTTCAGCCCACCCCACCCTACAGAGGTCAGAGGAGGGTCATAACCTTTGGTTCTCCCAGGGTATCAGCCCTGGTTGGCCACCACTATCTCTGCATCCCCAGCTCCACCGCTGCTCAGGACGTAACCCAAACCCTCCATCCCTTCTTGAAAATTTCAACTCCAGGACCAAGGCTTCCTTCCATAACAATGGTTTGTTCAACAACCTGGCTTGGAGCTATCCATGTTTCCCAGCTCTCGGCCCCATGTCCACACTCAGCCGCATGGCCTGGGGCCAGCATTTCTGACGTGTCCTTGAACGAGGCAGAGAGCTCCCTGAGTTCAGGGACAGCACCTCTGTCATTCCTGGGCCCCTGCTGCCTGGCACAAAGTAGGTGCCCAGCACAGGTTTCTGGAGCCTTGAACATACAGATGTGCCGTCCCTCCTCACCACATCGCCTCCTCCTGTTCTTCCGTTCCCGACATGTTGCCTCTCTAACCTGCTCCAGTGCTGTGGCCTTCAGCATGTGGGTGGGGTGGGAGAGGAAGCCATGGACCACTGAGGACCCTGAGGCCATGAGTAAGAATACCTGCTCTTTCCCCACAATCCACCAGTGTGATTCTAACCTCCAAGCCCTTGCTCACAAGGGGTGCCCCCTTCATCACTCTGTCTTCACCAACCCAGGCCCAAAGCACAGGACACAAGGCCTAGCTGACTTCTGAACTGGCCAGATGGAGAGTCTAGCACGAGGAGACTAATTTCCTGCAGGTTTTAGCCCAGCCACATGGATTCTAGAGCCACTGACGAGTTGTCAGCCCTCCTTCTGAGGAAAACGGAGGCATCAAAGGAGGCTGAACCCAGAGGGATTCTGGGGAGGTTGGGACATCTGCCTCTGCTATCTGTTGGCCAAGGACCAGGGCATTCCCTGAGTGAGAGGGGCTTCTCTGCCAGAAAGCCCTGATACGCTGTTCTGGGAGGAGCAAGACATTGATAGGACTGGTACGCCCTAAACTTGAGCAGTGCACAACCTAGATAGCTGTATGCAGCAGCTCTGCCAGTGCCCAATCAGGGCCGGCACAGAGCTGGTGCCTGCGGACTGTTTGGCAAATGGATATATGAAGGAATAGAGTTCTTACTCCCTCCCCTAACCATGCAGGGGATGCTTGGCAGCCCTGATAAAACAGGCCACACTTGGACTTGATGCCACTATAGGAAACACTGCAGGCTTCTGAGTGCGGGAGGAGCACAAGAGAGGCTGTGACTCAGAAGGGTTATTTCTGGAAACCTGGCCCTCGCAGGCTTCCCTCCATTCCTTGGGTACGGAAGAGAACGTGGGACGATGTTGCACTGACAAATAAATATTTGTTCAATGAGTGGATGCATGGATGAATGGATGGGCTCGCAGGCAGCAGCTCTGGAGGTTGTGAATGTGAGTCCTGAACAGCTGGGTCAGCTCGGGTTGGAATCCTCCTTTTGCCACTTACCAGCTGGGTGGCCTCTGTAACTCACCAGTTACTTGGCCTCTCTGAGACTCAGTTTCCAAATTGGTCATATAGGGGCTATATATATCGTTATAGGAATTAAACAAGATCAGCTTTGGAAAGTGCTTAACACAGAGCATGGCACAAAGGAAGTCTTGACTAAACGTCAGCTTTGTACAACTAGCCTGGAGGATGCAGCTGGCTGAATCATCTTTCCCCTCTGGTGGCAGGGGTACAGTGAAGGGTGGCCTTGGACAGGGGATAGAGATGGAGATGACAGAGAGGTGGCCTTCAGAACCATCAGAGAGCCTGAAGGAAGCATTCTGCTTCCCTTCCCCTCTTCCAAGGGTCCAGGCAGAGGCCTTCTCCCTGTGACGTGTCCAGCCCGCCCTCCTCAGTTCCCTGACCCTGAGTGTGCATTTGTGGAGGATGAATCTCCATTCGATCTGTAGGGAGCTTGAAAAAAAAAAAAAAAAAGAACAAGAACTAGAAAGTTCCATGTCAAAGCCACAAAGAAGCTGGGCTAGCCACTGGGTTCCGTGGGCTGCCCTGCACCTGGCTGACATTCTCTGCATGTTTCAGGCTGATGGGTCCTGGATCCATGCCAAGGATGAGGCCTGGCTGGATGGAAGCAAATTAATGATGTGACTAGACTTGTTGGGGGTCTTAAATCTCTTGCAACAAGTTCAAGTGCAGGATGTATGATAACATTTTAAAGAGGACACGTCGGGTCCCCAGGACCCTAAAGTGATAGTTCCAAGATGGAGTGATGAGAAGATGGGCCAGGCAGAGCTGGAGTGGGGCTGTGAGGCTCCCCTGACCCCCGACTAGGACTGGGTCAGGTCTAGTGGTCAAGTGCTCAGGTCTGCGGATGTCACAACCTCAATGTCCTCACCCCTTCTCTTTATCCTGTCCATCCAACAGACACCTTCTGAGAACTTCCATGGGTCCAGCCCTGTGTCCAGCTAGGAGGCCACAGATAACCCTCAGATAGGGTCTGCTGCCCTGGATGAGGCTCACAGCCAGTGGGGATCAGGACACTGGGGCACACATGTTTTAGAGGGCAGTGAGGGATGTGGGAGCCTGGAGGAGGCCGCTAATAGGGTGACAACGTGTCTTGGTTTGTTCAAGACAATCCAGGTTCATGGCTATGGTAGATTGCTGCATGCCTATTAATTATTCTGACTCGATTACATTTGACCTTTTACTCTCAATAGTGTCTGAGTGTGGACAATAAATATACGCATTTCTATTCTACACCTAACACAGGCTGGGGGCTCAGAGAAGTCTTCCCAGGGGAGGGGCCTTGGATCACCCTGCTGATTTGGGGGCACTGACAGTGTAGTGACCGGAGAGCTGCAAGAGGCCAGGGCCTCAGCCATTTCTGAAGGTGAGATGGAGGGGGGATGAGGTGAAGCCGACCAAGGGTGAGGTGTGCCTGGCCCCTGTCCGCCAGTATGATCATCCTGGGCCCCGCATCTGTCCAGCCCCGGCCTCCAGAGGTCGCTCCAGCAGCCTCGGCACTGCAGCCAGAGGCATCTTTCTGACCACGTCCCTGGCTGGCTTAAACACCCCAGGGTGTCGGCCCCTCAGTGAACATTCTCACCCCCATATGGTCTGCCGTCTGCTTTCCAGATCATTCCCCAGGACCTCCCACTTTCCTGTGCCCCTGCCACGCAGCTCGCTTTGCCTGCCAGCCCCTGGCTTTGCCCACACCTGGCCAGACTCTACTCTCAAGCCTGGTCCAATACCACCTTCACCAGCAGCCCTCCCCAGCTGCAGGCGGTGACCGCCCCCTCCAGCCCCTGTGACGTCGAGACCTCCAGCCGCAGACCCCTTCTCTGCTAGCACGCGGGCACTGGATTTAGCCTTGCTGCCCTGACACTAGGCTTGTCTGTGTCTGGGGGCGGGGCTGCCTAGTCCCTCCCTTGAGGGCTAGACTCGGCCTGTGCAACCCTGGGTTGCTATTCTAACCTGGGTGGGCCAATCTACCTTTGCCCTCTGCTCTACTTCAAGTACAGGCACTGCCAGGAGACCCCCGACGTAGATCACCTGTCAGAGACACGCCAGTGGTTCTGGACACCGCACAAAGAAAATCTGAACTTGTCATCCCCCGGGGTCACCCACTTCTTCTTCTTCTTCTCAGCTTAGTGTCCTGCCCTCCGTGGCCAGGGCCCGGTCCGGCACACCACTCTCCCCAGCCTGGCCATTTCATGGCCAGGCCATCCTGAGTGGTGACTGGGTACCCCTCAGGCACACAGCTCCCTGGCTGCTCAGGGCTCGCCAGCCTCTGCCCAGCGGAGGATGCAGTGCTAGGCTCTGTCACAGGGTGGGTGGATGGCTGATGAAACGCCTGTGAGCCTCGTGCTGCCAGGGCTCTCCTCCCTCTCTCCTCTACCAGAGAGAGTCAGGGCACCCAGAATCCCAGCCTTCTGTGCAGGGCCTCTGCACCCTTCCTCTCCGTCACTGTCTGCACTGCACCGAGCACAGCACACGCCTGCGTTTGCCCGTGCAGCATCGCTCACTGATACTCGCTCTGTGCCACGCCCTGCACTGGGCAGCGCGACGAGAGTGGACAGCTCGCCCTTGCTCTCGAGGAGCTTGGGGTCTAGCGGGGTCCCTGGCTATGCCTCCAGCCCAAACTCTCAGCCCTCCTCCTGCTGTCTCTTGCCTCCAGCTCGTCTGCGTGGTTTCCTCTGCTGGAATGTTCTTCTGCCTCCTGTCTGTGGCCAATTCAGGTTCTTCTCTGACCTCTCTTATTTCAGGAATCTTTCCTTCTCTCTCCAGCCCTGCCCCACCCCTACCCCAAGCCCACCTAAATTCCTGCTCCTGCCACAGGCTCCAAGGGCATCCTCTACTTCCCCTCGTAGCAAGGATCATGCTTCGGTATAGCTGCTTGTTGAATCTCTCCTTTTTTCCTATGAGACCCTCAGCCGCATGAGGGCAGCTCTCTCTGGCGCCCCGCCATATCCCTTTCCATAGCACTGTGCCTGGCATTTATACACTATTTCCTTCATTCATCCAATACCTACTGAGTCGTGCTCTGTGCCAGGCGCTGCTCTAGCCAATTATCAGTGAATAAAACAGACTCAAAACCCTGCCCTCAGGGAGTTTATGCTGTAATGGGAAAGGACAGACAATAAATAATGACTGATCAATGAATCAACATATATAAGTGTGTGAGAAGATGATAAAGGCCCTGAGGAAAAGTGGAGCTTCATAAAGGGGACAGGTTGGAGGGAGGAGGGGCGTCAGGTTGCAATTCTAGATCTGGTCGGGGCCCGCCTCACTGAGACGATGATATTTGTTTTATGTCTTGAAGGCAGAGAGGGGGTGAGCCACGGTGATACCTGGAGAAAGGCCTTCCTGGCAGAGGGAACAGCCAGTGCAAAGGCGAAGTGTGTGGGTGGGCTCATGGGTCAGCAGGGAGGCCTGCGCAGCTGGAGTGGCATGTGGCGGGCAACGGGGGAGGCAGAGGACACGGGGTGGAGACTGGGGAAAGACCACGGGACCACGCAGGCCATCACAGAGACTCTGGCTTTATCCTGAGAAAAATCGGGAGCCTTTCAGTGTCCTGAGTGGGGAGGTGGCCTCTTCTGACTAATTCAGCTGCCTCTTGAATGAATGAATAATCAAGCATCAGAAACAGAAAGCACAGGGGGCCTAGAGGTGCCCGGGAGAAAACCTAACCCCACCCAGGGTGTCAGGGCGGTTTCCCAGGTGAGATGACACTGGACCACGGCCTGAATGGGAGGAAACTGGGAGGGAGGAGCCTGAACAAAGGCAGAGCTGTGGGAAAGGGCAAGGTGCATGGAGGAAGTGCTACAAGTGGCAGAGGTCAGCAAAATGAGGTCTTTGTGGCAGGGGACCTGGGCTGTGATGAGGTCCATGGAGGGCAGGACATGGAGAGGGGGCCGTGACTACCTACGAAGTACCTTGGAATTTATCCCGAGGGCAACAAGAGGCCTGGTGGAGCCATGCTCAGCTCCTGGGTTCCCACTCACTGTCTGCCCAGCCTGGGGTAACCTTTCCTCTAGGACTCGAATCGAGGCAGAGAGCCCTGGGCTGGACTCAAGCCCAAGCTCTGAGCGCCTGTGAGCTTTCCCTTTCCTGGGCTTTAATCTCCCGAGATGCTGGACTAAACCTCAGCGAGGCCTCCCTGTTCTTACAGGCAAAGCTTCCAGGGTCTAGGCCCCAGAGTCACACACACCAGGCTCAAGCACTGCTCTTGACAACTTGATAACAACTAATAAGTGGTGTGGCCTTGGGCAAGTCTCTTCCCCTCCTTGAGCCTCAGTTTCCCCCATCTATAAAACGGGGATGCCCAAGCTCCTGCTTACCATGGCTGGAGAGAAGACTGCCTGCGCCTGGCACACAGTAGGTGTCTAATAAATGCCTTCCTATGGGCCTGGCCTTGGGAGCTGGTGTCCCGGAGCCTGCCCGGGCTGGGGGAGGGGAGCCTCACCTGGGATGTGTCGTGGTTGAAGATGACGGCGTTGAGGTCCCCGCAGTTGTAGTGCTTGATGAGGTCCTCGGTGGTGTAGAGCGCCTGCAAGCTCCCGGCCCGTACACTCTCGTGCTGCAGCAGGGTCTGGTTCAGGGCAAACAGCACCTGCGCAGAGGGAGGAGAGGCGTCAGGGCTGTGCTCAGGGACCCTGGCTGAGGCCCCTGACCCCTCCAGGACCGGCCCTCCTCCCGCTGGACTTTGGGGCAACAGGCCTGAAACAGGGTGTGTGAAAAGATGGGAGGGGCCTGATACCAGCTGGCACCACCCGAATGTTCCATGTCTCCCACTCTTCACTCACTGGGCTCCCACCACGTGCAGCCTGCTCTCATCTCCAGCCCTTTGCCCTCACAGGTCCCCAGTACTGCTCTGGGCATCAGTATCTTATCTAATAATGCGGCAAAGAGAACGCTACTTGTGTCCAGGTTTTGGAATGATGGGCGAGTTTTTCTTTTGACTCCTTTCTTCTCCAGTGCCTAGATAAGTTCTAGAAGGAGCACAGACTCATTTTGGAATCAAGAGCACCCCCAAACAAAGCAAAACAAACAAATGAACAAAAAACCAGAAAGCCCATTAGATGTCAAGGCTCAACCCAATTGCCACGTCCTCCAGAAGCCATCCTCACACCAGGCAAAGGCCTTAGGAGCTGAGCCCCCAAGTCAGATCCGTGCTGCCATTCAGCACGCGTTTCCTCCAGCCCCTCTGTGCTCTGGGCCACCGTGCCAGGCCCTGGGGACACAGCTGTGCCCAGCCAGGCCTGCCAGGCATCAGGATCACTTGGAGTGCTACAGAAAAATCTCAGAGATTCCAGAACTGGAGTCTCTGAGGTGGAGCCCAGGATGTGTATTTTTAACAGGCTCCCTGGGAACTCTTTAGCGGTCCAATTGCTTCTGGCATTTGAGGACTGTGCCTCTCATGGAACATGCCTTGCCCAAGGCACAAGGCCCTGAGAGATGATCTAAAATGTCCCATTTTAGATGGGGAAACTGAAGCCCAGGAGGGGAGGGGAAGTGGCCAATTCTGCACGGCTGGGACTAGAGCCAGCTTCACACAGCTGTGCATCCCAGACTCCTTTGGCCAACAAAAGGGAGGAGCTTGACCAATCAGTGGGTTATTTAGCACAGATAGAGGGAAAAACGATTGCAATTCTTGTGCAAAATGCCAGGAGGTGGCCTCGGGCCACCTGTCCTCGCTGTTTTCCCAGCTCCAGCCTCCCTGGCAGTCCTCAGGCCCTGTTCATCCTGTCTGCACACTGTCTTGGACAACACACCCCCAGCCTCAGTCCGCCCGCACCAGTTCAGGCCCAAGCCTCTCTCATTGGGTCCACTGCAACCCATGCTCCTCTCTGCAGACTCCCCGTCCCTTCCCACCTATCCCATATTCTTCTGCCACAGCTATCCTTTAAAAACACAAATCTGATGGACTTTATCTTTCTTTTTTTGCTCAAAACTTTCATGGATGCCTCCTGCCCAGGGGATAAAAGCCTAGCTCTTCACTGGAGCCTGCAAGGCAGCAGCCTGGCCGCTGCTGTGGTCAGTGACCTCGTTTCCAGCCCCCGTGTCTCCAAATGCTAAACTACTCTGCAGTCTTCTGTCTCTGTGCTTTGTACATGCTGTTCCCTGTGCATGAGAAACCTCCCGCCTCCATTTTCCACTTGCAAATCGAGACTTGGCCTTCCAGGGTCTGCTCAGATGTCTCCTCCATGAAGCTTCTCTGACCACCTGGGGGCTGGGTGAGGCCCCTCCCCAGAGCTCCCACTGTCTCCCTGTGTGGCAGAGTGATATAGTAATGCCCCCAAACCTTAACCCCTCCCTATATACATACCCTTGGCCATGGAACTCTGTAGCTCCTTCACATTCTGACTCTGGACTTGCTGCATTACAAATGGAGGCCAGCATTACAAGCCTCCATAGCCAAATGGGGGCAGCGTTACACATGTGCTGCTGTCTTTACACAACCACGTTGCCTTGAGAGTAGCCCAGGCTGGCCTGCTGGAGGGGGGGGCGAGAGGCGTGCACCGCAGAGCCCAGTTGCTTCCGTTGTCCCACCAAGGCTGTCCCAGTCCGGCGGACAGCCAGCCGGCTCCCAGACAGGCAAGTGAGCCCAGCTGAGCCCACTGAGCCTGCCTGCCTGCCTGCAGCTGGGCCCAGACATGTGAGGAAATGCTTCACAGCACAGCTGTGGTGAGAGATGAGCTACCCGCCCTGCTTCCCTCCAGCAGGGCGTGAACGATAGATTGTAACTGCAGTTTAGCTACCTGTCTCCGCCCTTAGGCGATGAGCCGCTTGAAGACAGGAATTGCATCCTATTTATTTTTGCATTGGCAGAACTCAGCACTGTGCCTGGTAGAGGGTGTCACCCATCCTTCCTTTAGCGCTTTGACACCTGCTGTGGTCAATTCATAGTTCAACGTTGCTCAGTAAGCCCTTCAGACTAGCCCCTAGAACTCTGGCATTCTGTCTGCACTTGGGGCACGCTGCCACCACGTGGCAGAAATTTCCTCCAAGTGGCATTAGCCACGTGGTTCCAGAGCACATAATCTGAACAAAAAAGCTCAGGCAATAGGTACACAAAGTCTGGCTTAAAATACTGTCTTGGGCGACTGGGCCAAGCTTGTGCTTGTGAGATCACCTCCACCCATCCCCTTCTACTTCTGTTTCTGGTCGGGCAGGAGAGCTGGATTGCACTGAGCTCTGACAGCCCAGCCTGCTTCCCATAATGAGCTGGCTGGAGATGAGGTCAGACCCCACCGCCCCGACTCTGGGCCTTCTCCAGGCTTCCAGGTTCTGGCCACCACCCCTGAAATCCAACCTGCAGCCACCTGGCACAGGGTGTCGATGGCAGCAGGGTGGCTGGGGACGGATCGCAGCAGGCAGCGGCCTTGTTGCCGTGGACATTGCTAAGGCAAAAGGCACTTCCTCCTGCATAGCAGATGCCTGGGATGAAAGCGCTCTCCTCCTCTGGGGGCTGGAGCGCTCTCCTCCTCTGGGGGCTGGAGCGCTCTCCTCCTCTGGGGGCTGGAGCGCTCTCCTCCTCTGGGGGCTGGAGCGCTCTCCTCCTCTGGGGGCTGGAGCGCTCTCCTCCTCTGGGGACTGGAGCGCTCTCCTCCTCTGGGGGCTGGAGCGCTCTCCTCCTCTGGGGGCTGGAGCGCTCTCCTCCTCTGGGGGCTGGACACACAGACTTCCTGTATCCACACCCTGTGCTGTACACACCTGCCCTGCTGCTTCTCAGCGCTGGCTCCACCTGGCCTGTGCTGAGGTCATCGGCTCGGGCGCCCAGAAGACCCGGCTGGGGGCGGGGAATGGCCCCCCGGACCCTCTTAGACACATGGAGTCACTTCTGCAGTCACGTGGCCCTCGTGGGGCTGGGAGGTGTTCTAGTGAATGAAGCACGTTTCAGCCTGCAGGGCGCTCAGAACAGTCCTGGCACGTAGTGAGTGTGGAATAAATGCTTGGAAGAAAATAGACCTAAACCTTCTCTGATTGGAGCTAGAAGGGCCCAGCAGGTTTTCAAACCTTTTGTAGCCATGGAATCCTTTTTTGTTGTTATTGTTTTCCAGAGGAAACTTACTTGGAACTCAAAATCTGTAGCAGAAATGGGAACTGCCCTCATTGAGGTAAAGGAGGCAGGCTGTTTACCTGAAGTCCCCCCGGCTCAATGCCACCCCCGTGACAGGCTCCCAGCGCTTCTCTGTGGAACCCACAGGTGCCCTGGAGCGTCGTTTGAGAACCACTCATCTCTTCATATGCCCTCTTCACATAGAAGAGGAGAAAAGACAGGGGTCCGGAACAGGCAGGATGAAGCTTGCCCCAAGGCCACACGGCGAGCTGCGGGCAGAGTGGGCTCCCTGTTCCCTGACCCCCAGCCTAGGACCTTTTGCTGTGCTCTGGACCATGTCTGGGGCTGGATTTCCCGAGGTCCACTGGCACAGTCCACGTTCATCCCCCACACCTTGCCATACCCATTTTCTTCCAGGAAATAGCCAGAAAACAGCTAGGGAGAATTTATTATTAACATGTCTAGAGGTAGAACACTGAGATCAGATTATTCAAGAAGCACCTCTAGTGTGGCGCAGCAGGGGTGTGGTGGAGCCTGGACTGAAACCCAGCCCGTCACTCCAGACTCCCCTCAACCCCCATCACAGACCCCGGAGCTTCCCTTGGTTGTGGCACTTATCCCACTGAGATGTCCATTTCAGGTAATTCCCTGTTCCCTGCCTGTCTAGACTGAGAGATTGGTGAGGGCAGGTAGCCTGCCTCTCTGGTCACTGCTGAATAGCAGACATTCAAGAACTATGAGAGGGAAGGATGCTGACCCTGAATCCCATGACCTTCCCCCTCCACCTCCTGCCTCGTATCCATCCTCTGCAATTTGTGAAGCAGTCCTCATCCATTGATTACTAGGGTCACTATGTTTGTTGAGCACTTACTATGTGTCAGAAGCTCTCTAAGTCCATATTAATTTATCTAACCTTTACAGCAACTCTAAGGTAGGGCTAGTATTAGCTCCATTTCATAGATTGGGGTGGTGGGAGGGGGCAGTCGCAGCAAAGAGATATTAAGTAAACCACTGAAGGTGACAAGGCTGGAGAGGGGTGGATGTGCATTCAAACCTGGGCCATCCAGCCCTGGAACCTATCCTCTTAGTTCACCACTGCCCTCGGGGCTTCCCTCTGCTCTCCTTGGGAGAGAGCCAGCAGGGAGGTGTCCCTATTCACAGATGGGAAAACAAAGAAGCAGAGGGGAAGGGGACCCAAGGCCACATGGCTTGTAAAGGACAGAGCTGGGCTATGAAATTACTTTTGTCTAGCTCCAACCAGGTTCCCATGACCAGGACTTCAAAGTAATATGTGCTTCTTCATGTGCATTCTTGGTGCTTCTAACAGACATAGGGAAGTGACACTCATTCATTCATTCAACAAACATTTACTTTCTGTTGATTCTCTGCAGGCATCTGGGGTTGTTGGATTAATTGGACTTGGTTTCCATCCACACGGAGCATCTTTTAGAGGCAGATATGCCAATGGGCCTTTATAGTAGAGGATGGTTGGAAAGTGGGGCCTTCAAAGCCCAGTGCACGGGCGCGAATAAGTGCCTTGCTCTGATTCC